ATTCCTTGATGTCCTGAGTATGTGGTTGCTGCACAAAGACCCTAAAAAGGATGACATATTTCTAATGATGTTTAAAACTACAGCCAAGGYTAAGAGTCATTTCTCTTATGAAATAGATGAATGTTATTTTGCTGGATGTTTTGTGACCCAAAGAAAGAATAGAAATTGATAATGATTTAGGTCTATTTATGTAGAGTATTAAATAGCAACAAAACCATTTCCTAAAATCTCACATGTGGAAATTTTGGGAGTTTTCATTTATATACTCTGATTAAGTACTACATAATCAAATAAATTTGTGGTTATGTTTACCGGTGCCAGTAGACAGTAAATGGCTTTACATTGACTCAGGCCATAATACAGGAAGGGGAGATGAAAAGAACATGGACTTAGGAGAAGAAGGACCAAGTCTGGGGTTGCATCCCAGTTCTTAGCAAATGACACATTCTCACCAACCCTTGGCTCATCATCTATAAAATAAGGATAACAATCCATTTGTGAAATTGGGAGATCATGTATGCAAAGTGCCTGGCATATGGAATTCACTTAGGATAAATCTCTAAAATATTGAATATTTCATCATTTTTGAACATTTTCTGAAAGTCTTCCCTACATACACTCTCCCTCTAAAGGATTGAAAAAAAWTTTTTTTTTCTTAAATAAAAYGATTTCACAGATGCTAGCCATGAGATCCACAAAGGCAAGCAGCTTTGAGAAAATTCCCAAATCCTTTTGGCTTTAGCTACAAAACTAGTGCAACAAACTGGGCATGAGAAAGTCCTTTAGAAATGTTGCAGCTTGTGATGGGCCAAGATTTATTCCATAAGTCATTTGGATAAACACTAAATTGCAATGATTATTTGCACAAAGGGGAGAGAGCCTGAGAGAGGCTGCCATGTTAGACTCTCTGGGAGCCCTATCTGAGTTCCCTGTAAGGAGTTTAGAAAAGGGATTAGGAAATCCAAACCCTCAGAGAATACTCCTGGTAGCTGTTGGAGATGCCACACACTTGTCACACCTGATAACTCACTCCCCCAGGACGACTGGAATGAGGACCCTGCAGTGTTCTTTCTCACAGTGGAAAGGGAAACAATTGGCAGTTCCTAATTTATAGACAGATGACAGCCTGAGCCAGCAATGGCTTCCTGGGTATAGGTGTCATGTGCAAAAGGGAAGATGTTTTTCAGCACACTCAAAACCAAGGTGATATTTTGAATCAGATGAGATAGACTGATTTTTTGCTTTTCTTTTTTCACTCCATTGCCTTAGTTTTTAATGTTCCTTTTCTCCTATTTAGATTCCCTCAGTCTGCCCAAAATTCCTCCAATGATTTCCCACTTGGATCATGCATGCAATGTTCCCAACATGTAAAAGTCACTAGAGATGAAAGTTCTAGAATAATGATCATTTTATAATTCTTACATATCATCCGTAAGCCTTCCTTAAAGTCTCCCCTATCCACAAATTCCTTTATAATGCAAAATGAACTCTTTAAATCTTTTTTATCTGCCATCAAAATTCCCAAAAAGATATTAACTTTGCAACAATCGTAGCAAACTAATTTATACTAGTGKGTTATGGACTGATGTTCCCACAATGATGAAAGTTACTTGCATATTTTAGAAGGGGATAATTGTTGTCAAAATTAGAACAGGGTCATAAAGTATCAAGTCATCATAAGTTTATTTTTTTTAATTGGGGGGATAAGAAAAGAATAATTCAGTTGCTGAAAAATGAGTCCTCGGGGTCTGCTTTTCTAAATAACTGCTTTTTTCTAGACTCCTTCCCTCCTAAAATTCTGCAACCCTAGATCTTTATAAGCTCTATTTGGTATAATATGTGTGTCTGTTGTTATCCAGAAAGACTGTGGGAGCAAACACACACAAAAAAAAGCTGATTAGCTGATGTGGGAGAGGGCACAACTACACATTAGCTTAGGGGTGAGCACTTTCTCCATCTGAATATTGATAAAAACCTAAGCAGTTACTATTGTATAAACATTGRCCCATAATTGGGGACATGCCACTTAGTATTATTGCCATTTACAAAAAGGAAAAAAAATAAAAAGCTAGGTATATGTTCAACTTGAATTTTGTTAGGGCAGAGAGGGAAAAATGATAGGTTTTCAAACTATTATAAATATGTGGCAAGAAGCCTCCCATTTCCATGAAACTTGAAAAAGTCGCCAGGAGTCCTCWCGGGGCTATATCTGTTAGACAACTGTCAAGAGCTGTCACTGCAACCATGATACAAAGGAGGAAGCTCCAACCTAAGAGGGGAAATGTCACCCCCCATGGGGAAATAGTGCTGAGAAGGGAATTTAAATTCCAAGTCCCCACAGCATCCTTCCCTTAGCCTTCGTGGGCTACCTCCCCAAGATCCTAGCTCTTGGTCCAACCATTGCTGGTATCAGAGAGCAGAGATGTGCATAAAAGCACATTGTAAATTATGAGCATTTGGATTTGTTTTTGTTTGTTTGACTTTCCAACATGGGTCCTTAGATCAGTAGTTCTCTTTTTGAATCAGATAATAAGCAGAGCTTCTTCCTGTTCCCTGGGTGAGCCAGTTTTGAAATTTGCCTGATTCTTTCTACCAACAGTGCAGCTGAAATGAACTCAGAATTTTGAAGCCACTCACTGTGTGACAAATTTGGACAAATAACTTTTCTCACATTCAGTTCCCTATTTTTTAAATATCTATTTTTTAGTTGTAAGTGGACATAATACCTTGATTATTTTTTTCTTTTTATGTGGTGCTGAAGATTGAACCCAGTACCTCACACGGGCTAGGTGAGCGTTCTACCTCTGAGCTACAACCCCAGCCTGGGTTCCCTAATTTTTGAATGGGAGAGATCACATTAATCTTATAACATTGTTGTGATTTGACAGTAATGTTATCTCTCAAGTGCATTATTGCAATAGCCTCAAATCTGGTTGTTTCTATTTGTGCCTACCTTCCATCTACTACCAACAGAAYAGCTCTAATAAAGCTTCTGTCCTATAGTCTTCTGCTCAGTCCCCTGCTGCCATTCTCCTTCACCCCATTCAGAGGAGAAACCCAAGTTCTTTACTGGCTTATGCTGTCTGCCACCTCTCTGCCCTGAACTGCTACCATTCTCTCTTACCCTGGATTATTTTGCTGGAGCCACCCTGGAACCCTTTATGGGAGATTTTTTTTTTTTTTTTTTTTGGTTGGTTGGTTTGATTTGATTTGTTTCTCTAGCACCTTTGTCTTGAAAAATCATTTTGTGCTGAGGGAAGCGGCATTCAGTTTGCCAGTCTTCTTGGGATTTTTATTTGAGTGTCTTCATCCTAAGGATTAAAGCATGATGGAAACTTTAGCTCATGAATCAAAACAACTCTTCAGAGCTAAAAGCTAGCTACATTTGCATAACAATTTAGCAGAACCAAACAGCAGGACAAGGTCAGGTGAAATAAATTGCCAAGGTCATGGTTCTCTTGAAGTGGTATTGGATTCAGAATTGCTGATCCTCAGTGCCTGCTGCCCCATGGATATCTCTCCCACCCTCCTTTGTAAATGATGCTGTGATATAAAATTAATCCGGTGTAAGAGTGGAAACCATAGGCCTGCCCGCATGCCCTTAACCCTTTCCTCTGCTGGAACTGCCTGATTATTCAGATCATGGAGAAGATGGATCATATGCCCATTGACCTCACTGTATTGACAAACAAATTTAAAAAAATTAAAAAATTAAAAAAATTACTGGAAACCATAACCTGGGAATTCTTGGCCTATACTAGGAACTACTGTTGACTGTGTTTAAAACTAAATGTATCTTTAATCACTTCAATTTCTTGAATAAATAATTGCCTTGAATTCATTTCGTTTTAATCCTGACAACCTAAAAACACAAGGCTCCTTAAAAAATACAGAGGTCCACATGCCAGAGAGCAAGAAGCTGGGGAGATTAAATGTGTAAATAATTCTTGGTTTAATACCCTTAACTAGAAAAACCTTTATAGCGGCTCATCAAAGGGAAGCTCCTTAAAGTCACAGCCTCTTTGAATCTGTCTCAGTGAAGCACAGGACTTCAGATCCCCCAGGCGCAACTCTGAATTCAGAATTTTAGGCGACTTGGGGTCCTTGTCCCCTCTCGGCCTTAGGGTCTCAGGGAATTTCCAAACTACAGACTCCCAGGTTTTGAGGGAAGAAGACTTTTCCAGGGGCGCGGGATGTGCCACCCGGGAATCTCACCATCAGTGGGCGTTTAGCGCAGCCAAGCGACAGACTGGCGCCAGGGCTCAGCAACCGGGAGGCGCCGGCTGAGGCGGGGAGAACTTTGGCGCTCCAAGCAGAACCACCCTTTGCTGGCCAGTCGTGTCGCTCCTCCKAGGAAGCAAGCGGCGTTGGCGACTGGGAGGAAAGAACACGGAAGAAAGGAAGAGAGGAAGTAGCTAGGCGAGGAGGAAAATGAAGCCAGCGCTGGGGGATCCGCGGGAGGGTGGCCGATAGTGGAGCAGGGCGGATTTGGCTGCTTCCCCGCATMCCGGGTGTGAACGCCCTCTCCAACGCGACCTTAGGAAATAAGTGAGTCTCGCCTGGGCGGAAAAGGAAAAGAAACCAAGTGAGAGCATTGCTCTTCTCTCACCTCTGCTCCCTCGGAACTCCGACTGCTTCTCAGCCCAGCCGTCTCGCCGGGCCGTACGCAGTGCCCTAGGCGCCCTGCAGATGGGGCGGTCAGGGAACCGGCGCCCAAGCCGCGGGTGACAGGCGCTGGCCCGCCCGCCTGCCCCGCTCGGCGGACGGACCTGGCGGGCAGAGGATGCAAGACAGAGGAACCCGGGAGTAGGATCTGAGACTGCTGAGTACGCGCTAGACTCCAACTTGGATGGCCCAGAGACCGCTCTAGCCCCTGGGACAGCTTCACCGCGTCCAGTGAAGCTGCGCTCGGGACCCGGAGGCGGAGACCTTAGGCGGCGGCTGCAGAGGGGCGAGCCGGGCGCAGGAGGGGGCGCGCTTTCTCCCTGCGGGTCTCAGTAATGAGGAGACTGAGTTTGTGGTGGCTGCTAAGCAGGGTCTGTCTGCTGCTGCCGCCGCCCTGCGCGCTGGTGCTGGCCGGGGTACCCGGCTCCTCCTCGCACCCGCAGCCCTGCCAGATCCTCAAGCGCATCGGGCACGCGGTGAGGGTGGGCGCCGTTCACTTGCAGCCCTGGACCACAGCCCCACGCCTAACTAGCCGCACTCTGGACGGCAACAGGGCAGGTGCCCAGAGGGATGAGCCAGAGCCAGGGACTTGGCGGCCGCCGGCGCCCTCGCAGGGCGCACGCTGGTTGGGGAGCACTTTGCATGGCCGGGGACCGCCGAGCGCCCGAAAGCCAGGGGAGGGCGCCGGGGCAGAGACCCTGTGGCCGCGGGACGCCCTCCTGTTCGCCGTGGACAACCTGAACCGCGTGGAAGGTCTGCTGCCCTACAACCTGTCTTTGGAAGTAGTGATGGCCATCGAGGCGGGCCTGGGCGATCTGCCGCTTTTGCCCTTCTCCTCCCCTAGCTCGCCATGGAGCAGTGACCCTTTCTCCTTTCTGCAGAGCGTGTGCCACACTGTGGTGGTGCAAGGGGTATCAGCGCTGCTGGCCTTTCCCCAGAGCCAGGGCGAGATGATGGAGCTCGACTTGGTCAGCTCCGTCCTGCACATTCCAGTGATCAGCATCGTCCGCCACGAGTTTCCACGGGAGAGTCAGGTGAGAGGAGTCTGGAGCTTGGAGTGGAGCTGTGCGCTGCTGGAGTCGGGACCAGAGCGAGGGGGAGGGGGAGGAAAGGGATGGGGGGAGTCTGGAGGGACTTGGGGCTTTATAACTTTGATATTGTTTAAGGATTAGACCATGCCCATAGATGGTAGATAGAAGGACGTCGGTAGAAGTTGAATGAAACATTTTAAGCGCACATGGAAATGAAAGGCGAGGCGGGGGTCGTGGATGGAAGGAAGTGGGGAGAATACGCGGGGGCGGGGGATAGTGTTTTGATTAGCTGGGAGAAATCCAGTGAATGCCCAACGGAAGTAAAAGTCAAGTTTCAGGACCGTGGAAAGCGACCGAGATTCTGAAGACTTGAGGGAAGAGTGGGGGTGGGGATCCCTGACTGCTACAATTTTACCCTCCCAAGAGGAATTCTGAGAGCATGTGGCAGAAAAAACAGCATCTGCTCTTTATGACTTCTTCAGGAGGCGTGTCTGAGCCTTGGGCGATGGTGTAAGAAAGCACATCCCTCTGAATTGTTTTGAGTAAATAGAATATCTCCAACTAGCACAGCAGCATAGGCAAATAAGAGTGGTTAATAGTCTTGGGTATTAGAAAGCTTTAGACATAGTATCTGATAGTGTAAAAATGCATGTAGAAAGTCACTTGGGGATTGCTTCTTTGTCTCACCTTACTTCTAAGTGATGTGGACTCAGAGGCTAGTGTGCAATTGCTGTGCTCAGCCCATTTCTGCTATCATTCTCCAAAAATAAAGGAACAAGGATCTAATTATTTAGTTTCCTATGGGTTAAAGTGCTAAGTATGTCTTCAGAGAAAAAAATATGAACCTAAGTGTTTACCAATAATATGAAGAAGTGGATATTAAAGAGAGGTTAGGGTCCATTTAGCTGAAGAAGTGTTTTACATTTTATATATTGCTCTTATGACAATGTCAAGATGTATTAGCCTTCACAAAATATTTATTAAGCAAATAGATAACTGACATTGGCCCCATTTTAAAGATTGAGAAACCAAGGAAAGTTCAGAGTCTGGATGAATATTGCTCAGTGTACTTGCTAGTAAGAGTCCAGGCCCTGGAAGATTTCTTATTCTACATCATTTTCAATTCTGTCCCTTTAGCTGAAAAAAAAAAATCATTTCTAATCTCTCTTCTTCCACTTTTGATATATATGCAGACATAAAAGCTAAAATGAGTAAGGGCAATATACAAGTGAAAAGTTTGATGGAATCTATGTATAAAATATCAAGGGAGTACTAAAGATTTCTTTTTCTAGAAAAATGAATCTTCCATTTTTAATCTTTGAAAAGGCAAGTACAAACTACTTTCAGCAATTGCCCAGAAGATTCCCATTTCATGATGAGCTAGAGATTTGATCTGCAGAGTGCAGGCTAATTAACTTTTATCTAACATATTTCTGTCACCAGAATCTGAATGACTGTAGGCAGCAGAAGGGAAGACACAGAAAACACAGGTGCACAACACTGCCCATGGCCAAAGGGTTATAAACATGAAATTGCATCCATAGGGTGCAGCATTATTAATATACATACAGAATCAGATCTAATGAAATGCAGGAGTCAGCATTGCTTGCTTCTCATCATTACTTCTTTATTACCTAATACTTCAGAAGTTGCCAATAGTGGTCACAGTCTCCAGACTCCCTTCCATTTGCAGATTGTTTGGCAAGAGTCTTAAAGAGCAAGAATTTTCTCCCAAAATGAGCGTCCCTTAGTTAGAAGGGAAATTGCCTGTGTTGCATGATCGATGTGTGCGGTATACAGCACATTACACCAAGGAGAGGAGGAAAACCATGAGACAGCATCCAGAATCAGTAAACTTCAGAGCTGTGAGATCACTGGTGGATATAAAGACCTTCAGGGACAAGCCTTACAAGCTGGCTATAAAATAAATACTCTGCCAAGCACATTTACTTCTGTATTGCATTTCAGAAATGCATTTTAAATCATGGTTGCCACTGTCACTTTCATGGTACACATTTTGAGAGGGAGGGATTATTGTATTAATGAGATCTAGTTTGTTCAACTGACAACATTTTCTTTCATCTCCCTTTGGGTTTTAAATTCAAATATATCTAACTTGTCTCACTTTTAGTATATCATGTCATTCTGTAATATTCTATATTAAAAATATCCTGCTTAATGTCAAGTCCSTGTAATATGTAATTTTAGGATATGACCATACTCTGCTCTCAGCAAAATTAATAACTGATCTTTCCCTCGCTTCTCCTGAAAAGTGGACCTTTCTCTATTACACTGATTTTTTTAACTTATAAATATTAAAGGATGTCAAAGTCATTTTTCACATTAAATAAAATTGACTTAATTTAGTCACTGTCCTTGAAGTCTACTGCCCAGTGACCTAATTTGTTGATTGTACCAGTGCCTGAATAAACTATTCTAAAAGAAAGTGGAGTTAACCGTACAACCAACTAAAATAAAATTGTTTCCCTTATATTCAAGCAAATCAAAGTTGCTTTTTGAGTAGGAGTAGCAACAGCTGTTTTCTCTCCCTTCCTTTTTTTACTGCTTCCCTTCATAGGAAGGTTTTTAATTAACAAATAGTGACTTGGTAACATCCTGCCACAACTCTTGAACAAAAAGAGATACCAGTAAGGTGATCCAATTCCTGAGAAATCCTTACTGCTTATTTCAATATGCTGTTTGTTCAAAGCATAAATACATAGGGTCAATCATCAGCTTAGAAGGGACGGACTTTTTTTCAGGCAGGGGAAAAACCCATTAAATGTAAGTTAGTTAACTACCCACTTTTGGAAAACACATGCATATTGTCAGCACATAATAAAAGCTTAACAAAACATTCCACAAAGTAGGGGGTCAAAGTTCATTTCCATCCAAAAATTTCTGACTTACCTAGCACACTCAAATTCCCACTTGAGGCTAGCCCTTATTATTAAAATGATCACTTCTTAGTTATAAATTCTATTCCTGTGACCTTCAAGTAACTGATACTACATATGAGCCCAGTTTCATTTATATTTAAGTTACATTAAGTTCCAACAGTTATTTTTTCTTTCTCTTCCCTTCCCATACTAAGTTTTCTTCTAGGGGTTTTAAGTAGTTTCTTCCAAGTTAAATCCATAAAATTTACCTGCTGATACAGCAACAGATGCACACTTTTTTTTTTTCCCAAAATATATATCTCATGTTAATTCCATATTGGTTTCATTAGGCAGAGCTAATGAAGTAATATAATTGGCATAGACTCAAACCCTGCACAATTCAAAAATGACTACATGAGTATTTTCAACTTTTATTGAATATATCAACCACAAGTTTGCCTGTCTTATGAACCATACATGCTAATTAATATGTTTATTTCCATGCAAGTGTTGTAGATAGTCCATTTTTCTTCGACAACACAAAGTTAAATACTGACACCCATTTATTAGAATTTGACTAGCACAGCATAACTTTTGCAAGGTACAGTAGACAGAAGAATGATACCACTACATAATTTAGGTGCTTTGTCAGGGTTCCAGTAAAGGACAGTTGTTTTTAAAACGTCTATTCTCAACTGTGTTGTTTTTTTCTTGAGTTGCTCTACAAAAAGCTCGGCTCACTCTCCTCTGGGGAAAGTATTTTTCTACAATTCTTGTTGGATGGCTGATTGTAGCACCTAATTGTTGCTCACTTGAAGATAAACCATTTCAAATTAAATGTCAAGTGATGAAAAAAAACTTTTCTCAGTAGTGATCTTTTCTAGGATCCTCTTAAAGAGCAGAGACCTGGGATTAATTTGGAATTTTTTTTTAATTTAGTGGTTTATTCATATTATTTGTTTATTTTTCCAGATAAGTAGAGTAGAAGAAAGAAACTAGCAGACACCATTTATTGGGCAAGCAGTCTGTCTAACCCACATTTCTTTGTGTTTACCACAGGAGTATCATTTAACTCATAAATAATGTATATTTGTTCTTGATCTTTCCTGATTATTGTATCATGGAGTTAATTTATGATTGAATCTGTTGAGCTATCTGAATGCCAATTTGAACGTCCAATCCTTAGTGTTTTATCTTCTGATGATGCAAAGGACATAATGAATTTGGTACCATTAAATTTTTATTTCATGAACACTCTTAAATTCCAATCGCATTGGTTAAAAGAGCACAATGTAATGGAAAGTATATGAAATAATGTCAAAAGATTTCCAATCTACTTCTGCCTCTTTCTTACTTGGCCATGTAAACTTGGACATGTGACTTTCTCTTGGAGAATCTATTCTTATCAGTCAAATGAATGTTCCTCGTCAATCTGAGAGAAGTGTTTTATGAATCAAATTAGAAAGAGTATTTTGGATCAATTGATAGTATTGGTCAAATAACTAGTGGAAAAATGATGAATATAATTTGATAAGAATCATTAAATCCTAATTCTTCACTAATTCTCTATTAGTTATCAAAATGAGATATTATTCATAGTATAACATCTCCATCCTCCACCTTGCTCCTTACCTATCACTTGTATTTTTTTTCTCTTAAAAAGAAAAAAAAGTAAATATTTTTAGGGGGATAAAAAAACTAGGCTCCTTAAATAGGTTGTACACTTGCCTAGAAAAAGGAGACAGGCCATAGTACTCTTTCTGTATCAGTGACAGTTCTTACCTGTTATATCCAATACAGCTTCCGGAAACTTGAGAACTATTATAGAAGCTATGGCAAGAAGCCCAGTGTTTTTGAGAAAGCTTGCTCCTTCATATAGGTCACAAGTTTTTTCTACATGCAAATTTATCATTCATGAGACTACTAACACAAGAGTTCATCCCACCCACTTCCATCCCATTGACAATACCACTATGCACACTACTTGGCTGGCTCATCCAACATTTTTTTTTTCATGACTAGCCTTTCTTGAAGAAAAAAAGCAGTGTATTGACTTTCATTGGCATAAGCTCTTTATTTCATCACAGACAGATAATAAGTACCTTTGCCCTGGGCAACTACATG